ACTACAGACCAATATCCCTCATGAATATAGATGCAAAAATTATCAACAAAATTTTAGCAAACAAAATCCAACAACATATTAAGAGAATCATTCGCCATGACCAAGTGGGATTTATTCCAGGATTGTAAGGATGGTTAAACATTAGAAAATCAATCAATGTAATACACCACAGTAATAAAACAAAGGAAAAGAACCACATGATTATCTCAGTTGACAAAGAAAAGACTTTTGATAAAATCCAACACCCTTTCCTGGTAAAAACTCTCAATAAGATAAGAATAGAAGGGAAATTACTCAACATGATTAAGGGCATCTATGAAAAATCAACTGCCAACATTATACTCACTGGAGAAAGCCTGAGAGCCTTCCCCTTAAGAACGGGAAGGAGACAGAGACACCTACTATCACCACCACTTCTATTCAATGCCATTCTGGAAGTTCTAGCCAGAGCAAAAAGGCAAGAAAAGAAATAAAAAGTATACAAATTGGAAAGGAAGAAGTAAAACTATCCATTTGCAGATGACATGATCCTATATACAGAAAACCACAGGTCAGTTGCTAGAACTAATAGAAAAATTCAGCAAGGTTTCAGATTACAAGATCAACACACAAAAATCAGTGGGGTTGCTATACACCAAAAATGAGGAATCCGAAAAGGAAATCAAGAAAACAGTACCGTTTACAATAGCACTGAAACAATAAAATACTTGGACATAAACCTGACTAGAGATGTAAAGGAATATACAGTGAAAACCCTGGAACACCGCTGCAAGAGACTAAACTGCTGTAGTTGGTTCTGACTCATAGCCATCCTATGCGCGATAGAACGAAACATTGCCCGATCCTGTGCCATCCTCACAATCACTGCTATGTTTGACCTCATCGTTGCAGCCACTGTGTCAATCCACCTCGATGAGCATATTCCTCTTTTTCACTGACCTCCTACTTTACCGAGCATGATGTCCTTCTCCAGAGACTGGTTCCTCCTGATAAGATGTCCAAAGTACATGAGACGAAGTTTTGCCATTCTCCCTTCTTAAGGAGCATTCTGGCTGTACTTCTTCCATGAATAAACTAGACCTAAATAAATGAAAGGGCTCACATTTTAATAGAGAAGAAGACAGACATACAAATCACTATGAAGGCAAGAACTTTTCATGACCAATTGACTCGTATCATCATTTTAAAAATATTTTATTTTGAAATAATTATAGATTCACCAAAAGTTGCAAAGACATTACATAAAGCTCCCAGGTATCCTTCACCCAGTTGCCCCCAATGGTTACATCTTGTGTAATTATAGTACAATGTCAAACCAGGGAATTTGATATTGGTACAATATGTGTATAAAGTTCTATGTCATTTTATCACATGTGCAGATTCATGTAACCAACATTGCAATCAAGATACAGATCTATTCCATCACCCAGAGACCTCTCTGGAGCTATTCCTTTATAGTCACACCCATCTGTCCCTTTCCCAACATTCTTAACCACCAACCCCCCCCCCCAAAAAAACCTAGTTGCCATAAAGTTGATTCTGACTCATGGTGACCCCATGTGTGCAAAGTAGAACTGCATTCCACAGAGTTTTCAAGACTGTGGACTTTTGGAAGCAGATCACCGGGCCTTTCTTCCGAGGCACCTCTAGGTGAGTTGAACACTGCCAGCCTTTCGGTTAGTAGTCACTTGCTTTACTGTTCATGTCATCCATGGACACCTCTTACCCCCTGGCAACCACTAGTGTCTTTTCTACCTCTATAAATTTTGTCATCCTGAGACTGTTACGTAAAATGGAATCATACAGTATATGACCTTTTGAGACTGGCTTTTTTCACTCAGCGTAATTCCCTTTAGATACATCCAACTTGTTTCATGTATCAGTAATTCCTTACTTATTGCTGAGTAGTACTCAAGGGTGAGGATGTACCATATTTTGTTTCACCATTTACCCATGAGGGACATCTAGGTTGTCTCCAGGTTTTGGTGATTACAAATAAAGCTAAATAAATGAACAATCACATACAGGTTTTTCTGTGGACTTAAGTTTTTATTTCTTTGGGATAAATGCCCAGGAGTGAGATTGCTTGTCCTTAAGGTAAGTGGATGTTTAGTGGCTTATCATTTATATTCCTTCCAGCAATGTATGAGAGATCCAGCTTCTCCACATTCTCTGTAGCATTTGCTATTCTCATTATTTTTTAAAAAATTCTTTTAGCTGTTCTAATAGGTGTGTAGTGAAGCGCTCAGCTGCTAGCCGAAATGTTGGTGATGGAACTCGCTAACTGCTCTGCGGGAGAAAGATGCGGCAGTCTGCTTCTGTAAAGATTTACAGCTTTGGAAACCCTATGGGGCAGTTCTACTCTGTCCTGTAGAGTTGCTCTGAGTTAGAATCGACTCGTTGGCAATGGGTTTTTTTTTTTTTTTTTTTTTTTTTAATAAGAGGTGCATAAGGAGGCCTGGTGGTGCAAACAGTCAAGGGCTAGGCTGTTAACCAAAAGGTTGGCGGTTTGAACCCACCAAGCCTCTTGTGGGGAGAAACACCGTTTCTTCTACTTCAGCCAAGAAAACCCTACGGGGCAATTCTACTCTGTCACACGGAGCCACTATGAGTTGAGTCAACTCAGCAGCACCTAACAAAAATAATAGATGGGTAGAAATAGCTCATCGTCTCAATTTGTGCTTTCCTAGCGGCTACAGGGTCATGAGGAAACCCTGGTGGTGTAGTGGTTAAGTGCTACAGCTGCTAACTAAAAGGTCGGCAGTTCAGATCCCCCAGGTTCTCCTTGGAAACCTTATGGGGCAGTTCTACTCTGTCCTGTAGGGTCACTATGAGTCCTATGAGTTGGAATCGACTTAACGGCAATGGGTTACTGGCTAGTGATGTTAAACATCTTTTCATGTGCTTATCTACCATCTGAATATCCTTTTCAATGAAATGTCTGTTCATGTCTTCTGCCCATTTTCTAATTGGATTTTTTTTTTATTGTTAAGTTTTGGAAGTTCCTTATGTATTTGAGATATGAGTCCTTTGTCAGATGTGAGATTTGCAGAGATTTTCTCCCAGTCTGTAGCTTGTCTTTTCATCCTTTTAACAGGGTCTGTCACAGAGGAAAAGTTTTTAATTTTGATCATGTCCAATTTCTTGATGTTTTTTCTTTTATGGATCATGCTTTTCATGTCATGTCTAAGAACTCTTCACCCTAGGTCTCAAGGATTTTCTCTCCTGTTACCTTCTAAAATGTTTATAGTTTTACATGTAAATCTATGACCCATTTTGAGTTAATTTTTGTATAAAGTGTGAGGTTTAGCTCTAGGTTCATTTTTTTTTTGCTTATGAATATATAATTGCTCTAGCACTATTTGTGGAAAAGAGTATCTTTCTTCTGTTGAATTGCTTTGGCACCTTTGCCAAAAATAAGTTGGCTACACTTGTTTGAGTCTATTTCTGGGTTCTGTATTCTGGTCTACAGATCTGTGTGTCTATCCTTCTACCAATACCATACGTCTTTGATTACTGCAGCTATGCCAATAAGTGTTGAAATCAGGTAGAGTGATTTTTCCTACTTTATTCTACTTTTTCAGAATTTTTTTTTTTTTTTTAGCTCTTTTAGTTCCTTTGCCTTTCCACATAAATTTCAGCATAATTTAGTCTATGTCTACCAAAAAAAAACCTTGCTGGAATTTTGATAGGAAGTGCATTAAACCTGTATATCAGTTTGGGGAGAACTGCCATCTTTACTGTCTTGAGTTTTACAATGCATGAACACTCCTTTTATTTAGATCTCTTTCTCTTTCTTAAATTTCTTCTATCATCACTTCATAGCTGTCAGCATACAAGTCCTGAACATGCTTTGCTAGATTTATACTTAAGTATCTCATCTTTTTTTTGAGTGATTGTTTCATTTTGGTTTTTATGTGTGTTACGGATTGAATAGCGTCTCCCCAAAATACATGTTAGAATGCTAACCCCTATACCTGTGGATGTACTCTGGTTTGGGAATAGGGTTTTCTCTGTTATGTTGATAAGGCATGGCCGCCGGGAAACAGTGCTCCATCAGGACCTCTGAGGAGGACTTGAGGACAGCAAAGGCCTTGTTCTTGTAAATGGGAGGTCTGGGGAAATGGGCTCCATGGGAATAGGGGAGGTGGGGGAGGCAGAGCCCAGACCCTTCCCTTCAGGTGCATGGAGTGTCTCTGGGCTCTGAGAGGCCTCAGCTCAGCTTCTCACAGCTATGGAAACTCTCAGTGCTCTTAGCTTCCCCTTGCGCAGGGGATGGGGGTAGGGTGGGGGATGGTGGGGAGAGGAACTGAGAAGTCCTGGGAGGAAATGGTGGTCAAATCAAATGCTGCCTCACTCTTTTTACTCTCTCTCTGCACATATGGCCTCTCATTTTCTGGCCCTGCCTTTATCTCTCTTTCCCAGAAGGACTGAAGGAGGTACAGTTGACAGGGTCAGAGAAGCATGTGGATCCTGACCACAGTCCTAAGCTGGTTTGGACCTGCAGTGCAGTGGGTTTCTTTTACATACAGCCTTTCTGGCCTTGGGTTTATAATTCTGCCAAAGATGATTGACTAAGCCATAATCTTGCAAGGGATTGGTTGATTGCTATGCAAATAATGGCGCATAAAACTACCCAATAGAATTAAGTGACTTGTTTCTATAAGTAGCCAACCAGACAGAGGTTTTCATAGAGAGGCAATGGGAGAGAGAGGGAACCTCCTAAAAGAGCTGTAATATGGGCCTAGAACTGGAACACTGGAGCTGGCGCAAGGCGGCTACTCATCGGGCTTATGTGAAGCACCCTCCCCTCTAAGGGAGCTTTCAGACTTTCAGGGGACAACGAGAGAACAGAAGATAAGAAAGGTCAATGATGGAGAAAACAAAGGGCAAAATACAGAACTTGGTTCACTAGAGATCAAATGTGGAAAGGCAGGACCGTTTTATAGTTTGAAGGAAACTCAAACTACATGAATAACATACTCACATAATTTTATAATTTACAAAACTTGTTCATTTGTATTGTTCAGCCTAATCCTCACAACAGTGTGGTAGTAATATTTATCCCTCTGCATATGGGGAAACAGAGGTCCAGAGAAGGTCAATGACCTGCTCAAAGTGACAGGTGGCTTTCCTAGCATCTGGGCTCCTAAGTTTCATCTGAGATTTTCCATTGCAAGTCTTACCTGCAGTGAGACATGAGACCAGGAGGGTGGTCAGGGGCTGTCGCAGAATTGCACACATATGCAGAAGTGGCCCTTTAGGGAATTTCCTTGCCCACAATCCCTCCCCCTTCCCCACCCCACTACACACTAGGTTGGTGGCCACAGCCTCCAGACAGAGAGGAAGGCTGCCCTGGCCACTGTTGGCCACATGGGGTGCCAGTGAGTACGTATGTGTTTGGGTCCAGCTCAGGCAGTTTACTCACCCTGATTTTTTTCTTTTTTCCCTTCTGTTGTCCACCAAGAAAGGGAGCTTACTTTCTGCAGGCCCCCAAGATCAGCCCTTGCCCACATACACCATCTCTGTGTCCTTCCATCCCGAAATCAACTCTGAGTTGTCCCTGCTGTTTCACAAGGGGATCTGCTCTCCCCAGTGGACAGTGAGTTCCTGGAAGGTGGGGGTCTGCTCCTTTCTCTGCACTATGGCCTCCCCACCAGTGTAAGCAGGGTGAATGCTTTCCACACAGAGCCACCCAAGGGTGTGGACACTGCTGGGGCTGATTGGGCCCTTCTGGGATCTCAGACCTGGAGCCCAGGGGTGGGAATGGGAGAGAGAATATCCCAGGCTCAACCTGTTTCTCCCAACTTGGGGAATGGGCTGAGCCTAAACCCACGGGGCTCACACTGTCACTCTCATAAGCAGAGCTTTTCCAGAGGGACCTGGGGTCCTTTTCATAGGTCCCAGAGAATTATTTGACAGAGGAAGTTTCAAGCTGAGTGGATCAGGCCTCCTTTTTCTCCAATGCCTCCAACCCCCTGCCCTTGCACATTAGTAGGGGTGGGTCTCTGATTGATTCCAGGTCTGCCTGACCCAGAGTTGGGCTCTTTCTACTATACTGCACTCCCTCTAAAGCTCAGCATTTGTTCAGTGTTGCTATATGTCTGACACTTTATGAATATATTATTCTACTTCATAATCCAAATAACTTAGTAATGTGGATATTGTCCGTTCTGTTTTTACCAATAAGTGGCTGGGGGTAGAGATCTAAAGTACCTTCTCCAGGCTCACTTAGCTAGTAGGTGAGGAGGAAAGGTAATCCTTATTATGTAGGGACCAAAAGTTTAGCAACACTGTCACCTGCAGTAATGTGGAAAGTAGAAAATATACCTGATGGACTAGGTGATATAGCTAAGGAGATCTCCAGACAAAGCGTTGAAGTGCCTCCTGGTTTCTTCTTGAGACTTCTTGTAAAATGTGAAAGGAGAGAGAAAAACCATAGGCAATATAATTAAACATGAAGGAGCACTGAAAATTCTCAGCCTCTCCAGACAATAAATTACGCTAAAATCAAATTCAGGCCACTCTGGAAAATATGGTCTAAAAATGAAACTGAAAGTGTGACTGTAAAATCCTTTGTTACGACTTCAGAAATATCAAAGGCAGTGCCTCAAACATAAGGCCCTCTAAAGAGTTTAATGTGCATGCCTCACAGATTCTCTCAATTAAACATTAGCATTTCTAAGATGCTTAAAGACATTATTCCTCAGTATCTCAGCAGAAGCCCAAGGTATAGAAGGCCTTATCTTAAAGAGATTAGTGCATGTGGTTTTTGTTTAGTGGAGTGAATCCCAATAAAATTCATAGGAGACCCACAAATTTTTTCAAGAGAATGACATTATAAAACACTACCAGATTGGACTGAAAGGAACAGAGACAGTATAAAATAAAAAAAGGACTTTCATACTCCCAAAATTCTACTGGAAGAAAGCAGGCTGAGAAAACTATGAAACTGTAAACATGGACTGTCTTTCATGGAAAGGGAAGGATGAATCAGAGGACAGAATTAAGAGCCCAGAGGGAGGAACCAAGAGCCATGGGGAATTATTCCCAGGTAGAAGAAGGACAGAGACCTAATCAATAAATTTCTAACATGTACTCATTTGAATTTCAGATTTTGTAAGGATCGGTGACTCCTTTTACCTCCCATCTCCCCCACACCCCTTTTGAATAGAACGTCTATAGTGGTTATCTTATGCTTGTATCACCATTGTATGTTGGGTGTTTATGGGGAAGACAACTTCTCTCTTTAATTCCCAGGTCTTCAGATCAAGAAAAACCATAGTCGAGGAACTGTACTAAGGAACTGCATCTGAGGAACCATATCTGCCCCTGGACTTGATTTAAATAAGTTTCTGGACTTTGTGGTGATCCTGTAATAGGATGAGACTTTTGGAGGCCTTTGGAGGGGATGAATATGTTTTTCATGTGGGAGGAATATAATTAATTTGTAGCCTGAGTGTGTACTGTGGTGGTTTAAAAATATACCCACAAATTCTTTGATACGTCTTCCTTCAAGAGATGGAGTCTAATTCCTCTTTCTTTTACTGTGGGCTGGACGTAGTCATTAGCTTCTAATGAATAGAATATGGCAGACGTAATGGCATGTGACATCAGAGACTAGATAATAAGAAGCATTGTGACTTCCTCCTTGCTCTCTCTTGGATCGCTCACTCTGGGGAAGTTAGTGTCCATGTCATGAAGAAAGGCCCATGTGGTGAGGAACTGAGGCCTTGTTCCAACAACCATGTGAGTGAGCCGTTTTGGAAGTGGCTCCTTCAGTGACTGTCAAGCCTTTGGATAACTGCAATCCTTGATGACATCCTGGCTGCCCCCAGAAACACCCAACTAAGACGCTACCAAATTTCTGACCCCAGAAACCGTGAGATAGTAAATATCTGTTGCTTGTTCTTTCAGGTTTCTAAGATTTGGGAGTAATTTATTACACGCCATCCAAAGACTTAGGAGGAAAACCACAAAAGTTGTTTTGTTTGTTTGTTTTTACTGGAAGCTAAGAGAAGAAAGCATTTCAAGAAGGAACGCATGATGAGCCATGTCATCTTTCCAGTAAGATGAATATTGACCATTCCATTTAACAATGTGGAAGTCTTTGGAGATTATAACCAGATGTTTCAAGGAGTGACACAAAGAAAGGCCTGATTGGAGTGGGTTCAAGAGAGAACAGAAAGAGAAGTACTGGAGGCTGAGAGTGTATCAAATCCTTTCATGTGAGTTTTGCTGTAAAGGGTAATAAAATGATGGAGCCGTAATTGGAGGTGCCGAGGGTCAAGAGAGTTTTTAATATACTATATTTACATTTGGAAACCCTGGTGGCATAGTGGTTAAGTGCTACAGCTACTAACCAAAAGGTCAGCAGTTCAAATCCACGAGGTGCTCCTTGGAAACTCTATGGGGCAGTTCTACTCTGTCCTATAGGGTCTCTATGAGTCGGAATCGACTCAACGGCAACGAGTTTGGTTTTTGGTTTTTTACTTACATTCTGATTGTCATGACACTGAGAGGGGGGAAAAGGTGACGCAGGTGAGAGGAGAGGACTTCTGGAGCAATGTTCTTGTGTAGACAAGAGATGGGATTTTGGGCCTAAGTGAGATGAGAGCAGGGAGAGTTCATCCAGAGTGTCAGGAAGAAGAGACTAAGTATGAGGGTACAGAAGTAGCATGCTTGGCAGGTATGGCTGACCCGGGTGGCTATTCTTTTTTTAAAATTTTTTTTATTGAACTTTAGATGAAGGTTTACAGAAGAAATAGTTTCTTATTAAACAGTCAGTATACATATTGTTTTATACAATGGTAACAACCCCACGACCTGTCAACACTATCCCTTCTCGAACTTGGGTTCCCTATTACCAGCTTTCCTGTCCCCTCCTGCCTTCTAGTCCTTGCCCTAGGCTGTTGTGCCCCATTAGTCTTTTTTTTTTTTATTGTTGTACTTTAAGTGAAAGTTTACAACTCAAGTTAGTCTTTCATACAAAAATTTATACATACATTATGTGACCCTAATTACTCTCCCTGTACTGTGACAGCACACTCCTCCTTTCCACCCTTGATTTCCCGTGTCCATTCAACCAGCTCTTGACCCTCTCTGCCTTCTCATCTCACCTCTGGACAGGAGCTGCCCATTTAGTCTCATGTATCTACTTGAGCTAAGAGGCACACTCTTCCCAGTATCATTTTATGCCCCATAGTCCAGTCTAATCTTTGTCTGAAGAGTTGGCCTTGGGAATGGTTTTAGTTCTGGGTTGACAGAGAGTCCAGGGGCCATGCTTTCTGGGGATCCTCCAGTCTCAGTCAGACCATTAAGTCTGATCTTTTTACTAGAATTTGAGTTCCGTACGCTACTTTTCTCCTGCTCCATCTGGGACTTTCTGTTTTGTTCCTTGTCAGGGCAGTCACTGGCGGTAGCTGGGCACCATCTAGTTCTTCTGGTCTCAGGCTGATGCAGTCTGTGGTCCTTTCTGTCTCCTGGGCTAATACTGTCCTTGTGACTTTGGTGTTCTTCATTCTCCTTTATTCCAGGTGGGTTGGGACCAATTGATGCATCTTAGATGGCTACTCACTAGCTTTTAAGACCCCAGACACCACTCACCAAAGTAGGATGCAGAACATTTTCTTAATAAACTTTGTTATGCCAGTTGACCTAGATGTCCCTGGATGTTCTTTTCTAAGTGTTTTTTGTTTGTTTGTTTTGATTTTTCAGTGAGTTAGGAAGCAAAGACACGAGCTGAGCATGAGAAGACGGAGAGGGAGGAGGCATTGGAGTTTGAGGGGACAGAGGATGGTGTGAGATAGAGGTCTAGAATGGAGCAGGAAGTGTGATAAGATTGCCCAGGAGCCCTTCGGGCCCACTTCACATTGTTGTTGTTTTTAGTTGCCGTCAAGTCAGTTCCGACTCAGGGAGACCCCATGTGTGCAGAGTAGAACTGCTCCATAGGATTTTCAGGGCTGTGACCTTTCAGAAGCAGATGGCCAGGTCTGTCCTCTGAGTAGCCTCTGGGTGGGTTTAAACCACCAACCTTTCAGCTAGTAATTGAGCACTTAACATTTGTGCCACCCAGGGACTCCTCACTCCATGTTAGAGGTCATGTACTTACAGTGAGATAATTCGGCATGACTGGTTGTTCTTCTCCAGCCACATTCAGCTTCCCTGGTGCTGGCACAGAGTAAGTAGAAAACTGGATTCAACTAGGGTTGGATTCTTGCCAGAGGAGTTCGGTGAAAGGGGAGAAATTAAGGCTATGTGCTGAAGAGTGATTATAATGACAGCTTCTGGACTCTAAGGGAAAGGAAAGCATAAATGAGGTGAGGAGAAGGGATAAGGGGCAGGCTTAATGGATTATAGGTCCCATTGGTGTTGAAGAAGTACTATGATCAGGTTAATAGGATTGAACTAGAGAGACCAGGTGGTGGTTGGAATGTGGATTTCTCAGAAATGAGATTATGAAGGAGGAGCTGCTATTCTTCATGACCATTTGAATGGGTGGTTGAGGTAGTGTGGAGGTCAAGATTGTTGGTGGAGAGAAGGTCAAGGAATTGAGAGAGCAGGGGTTGGGAAAGATCATCTACAAGTCTACACAGGCCTTGAGGTCACCAAGGATTATAGCAGGAGTAGTGAGAGTGACAGGGAGCCAGGGGTTAAGACTCATGGAGAATAAAGAGGAGAACCCCAGATTATATAAGATCTGCAACAATGATGGATGGTTTATGGTGTAGTCTGATGATAGAAAATCAAATTGTGGGGGTGCTTTCGGAGGGATAGGAAGTTAGGAATGGACATTGAGGAACCAGGAGGACACCAACACCACCTTCAAGTGCAGTGGTACAAGGCAAGGGAGAGCAAAAAGCCTCCACTTGGGAGAACCACAGAAGAAGCAGTGTCCTTAGGAACAGTGGATTTTGGTGAGAATAGAAAGAAGATGAAGTTCAGAGAAGTTGAGAATACAGGGGCTTATGCTGATAACTGTACATTTCAGGGGGCAGAGTAGAAAGGTTTATGAATTTTTCGAAGAGTGGGAGATAGGGTTAATGTAACAGATTTATAAGATTTAATAGGATTCCCTTGTGCTCAACTACTAATCTAAAGGTTGGTAGTTTGAACCCACCCAGTGGTGCCACAGAAGAAATGTTTGGTGATCTGCTTCCATAAAGATTACAGCAATGAAAATCCTACGGAACAGTGCTACTCCAAAACACATGGGGTGGCCATGAATTGGAATTGACTTGATGGCAAAGGGTTTGGTTTTGATTTTTTATAAGGTCCTATACGGTTACTAACAGTTGGAATCAACTTGACGGCAATGGGTATTGAGAAGTGATTCTGGGTTATTAGAGAGAGAATTGGGGAATGTCTTAGTCATCTAGTGCTGCTATAATAGAAATACCACAAGTGGATGGTTTTAACAAAGAGAAGTTTATTCTCTCACAGTCTAGTAGTCTACAAGTCCAAATTCAGGGCATCAGCTGCACGGGAACCCTTTCTCCATCGGCTCTGGAGGAAGTTCCGTGTCATCAATCTTCCCTTGGTCTGGGAGCTTCTCTGTGCAGGAACCTCAGGTCCAAAAGACGGGCTCTGCTCCCGGCACTGCTTTCTTGGTGGTATGAGGTTCCCACGTGTCTCTGCTCGCTTCTCTCTTTTATATCTCAAAAGAGATTGGCTTAAGACACTATCTAATCTTGTAGACCTCATCAGTATAATTGCCACTAATCCTTCTTATTACATCATAGTGTTAGAGTTTACAACACAGAAATCACATCAGATTACAAAATGGTGCACAATCATACAATACTGGGAATCATGACCCAGCCAAGTTGACAGATTTTTTTGGAGGACACAATTCAATCCATGACAGGGAGTCGTGGGAGTCTTGTAGTGACTGGAATGAACAAGGATAAAGGCATGAAGGGATGGTCTGGGGGTCTCAGGCTGACTGTGGGGTGGTGGTGGGAGCGAGCCAGGAGTCTTTACAGGAGCAGGTGGAAAGCTGGGATCTTTCTCCCACTCCTGCCCACAGTGGTGGGGGCTGGGGAGGGGCGGTTTGATGGGAAATCTCAGGTCCATCTTCATTCCAGCTAAGGAGGTGTGAAGACGGCGAAGGAAGTGGGTAAAAATTGTATAAATCCTCGAGGGGAAAGAGAGCCATGAACGTTTTAAAGCTAGGTAACAACTGGATGACTTAACAGACCAGAGACAGCTGAAAACTAATGTCTAGGGGTTTAGGGTAGGAGATCTAAGAAGCAAGCCATTTTTACCTTAGAACCCCAGAAAGGCTCAGCACTTGGAGGCACAGGCATCTCTGAAGGCAGAGTAGAAGGGGGGCTGGAAACTCAAGAACAGGTTGAATGTCTCTTTAAGAAGCAGTTGCATGCTTAGATTCTCTGCCTCTCCTAAGACTAAAAATGGGTCAGCTGCCCACATCCTTTCTCCCTCCTCTCACTCACCACCCTGCAGAGAACTTGACGTTAGTTCCTGAAGAACCAAAAAAACCCCCAAAAAACCGTTGCTGTTGAGTCAATTTCGACTCATGGCAACTGCATGTGTTACAGAGTAGAACTGCTCCATAGGGTTTTCTTGACTGTTAATCTTTACAGAAGTAGGCCACCAGGCCTTTCTTCCATGGTGTTGCTGAATGGGTTTGAACCACCAACCTTTCAGTTAGTAGCCCAACACTTAAACGTTTACATCACCCAGGGACCTTAGTCCATAAAAAGGGTGGACCATATTGGAGCTCCACTCAGGGCACCAGGCACTGCTGAGTAGGAGGGTCTATTGCAACAGAGGGCTGAGTGGAAATGGGCACACTGCACAGTGAAACCCTTTTGCTTTGCTACAGCTGGTGCCCAGAACCCTAGCATTCAGGCTTAGACCCTGTCTTAGTCATCTAGTGCTGCTATAACAGAAATACCACAAGTGGATAGCTTCAACAAAGAGAAATTTATTCTCTCACAGTCTAGTAGGTTACAAGTCCAAATTCAGGGCGTCAGCTCCAGGGGAACACTTTCTCCATCGGCTCTGGAGGAAGGTTCGTGTCACTAACCTTCCCTTGGTCTGGGAGCTTCTCTGTGCAGGAACCTCAGGTCCAAAAGACGCGCTCTGCTCCGGCACTGCTTTCTTGGTGGTATGAAGTTGCCATGTATCTTTGCTTGCTTCTCTCTTTTATACCTCAAAAGAGATTGGCTTAAGACACTATCTAATCTTGTAGACCTCATCAGTATAACTGCCGCTAATCCATCTTCTTACATCATAGTGATAGTTTACAACACGTAAGGAAATCACATCAGATTACAAAATGGTAAACAATCATACAATACTGGGAATCATGACCCAGCCAAATTGACAGATATTTTTGGAGGACACAATTCAATCCATGACAGACTCCACAGACAACAGTTAAAATAGCCCTTTCTGGAGCAATTGAGCAAAGAGAAAAAAATGGAGCAATCCTGAGATATAAGCATCTGCCAACAAAAATCCATGCTCCTGCCTTATCAGTCTAGAGACCCCTTCAAACCCCACAAACCACACAGAATGTCTGATCCGAGCAGCTTTAGAGGCCCTCACTCTTCAGTACAGACAGGCTGCTGAGAAGCAGGAGAGTTTTCTGGAAAGCTTTGAGGAAAGACAGAGGCCAATGAAAGGAGAAAACAAAGGCTATAAAAGGCACTTAGAGGAAACAGAAAATACACAAAGCTGAAAAAAACTTGAAAATGTTAAAACTTTAATATTGCCAGAGAAAAGATTGCATCCCCAAATAAAACATGCATGCTATAAAGAGGAACATTCAGAGGACAAATGGACTGTTTAGAAATGTAAAAATATGACAGCATAGATTGTAAAACTGTGACGAGAAGAATTAGACTGTAATGTTAAAGAACTTTTCCTGAAAGTATGAATAAAGAAAAAAAGATGGAGAATAGGAAAGAAACAATAGTAAAATTATAGGTGCATGCCAGCAGGTCCAACATCAGGACAGTAAGAGTGAGAGTATCAGAAAGAAAAAGAAAGAGCGACCCTCTAGGATGACAGTGCCTGGGGTAGGACACAGAGCCATTTCAGCCTTGGCTGTACTGAGGCGCCCCTTGCCCAGCTTGCGCAGAAAAAGGGAGGGTTGACTTTCTCCTAGAGCCTGCAGCCATCTTGGGCAGTAAAAACAGCATGGAGGATGCACAATGACATGATGACAAACAATGGCTGACCTTGACACGGCATGGGCACCAATAACGACACTGAATTTCAATTCCTTTGCAGTGAAAATGCACAGAGGTGTTGTTGAGAAGGGATGTATAAGGGGAACAATCTAGCCGCCATTAGTTGATGGTGAAGAGTGAAGGCAGGGCACTGGTTAGGTGACTGACATAGTAGTCCAGGTCCAGGGGCAGGTGGTGAGGGGACTTGAAAAGGGGGACGAGGAGGAAGAGGAGGCAGAAGGAACATAAGATGCAGAACAGAGTGGCCTTGGCAGAGAGTGGCTAGACAAGGGGAGAGGGAGTGAGGACCAGAGAAAGGTTGGGATGACCTGGGTGCCTGGCTGAGCTGAGAGCTGTGGGGTTAAAGACAGGAGCAGGAAACCGAGGAGGAGAAGAAGGAGTCATAGCAGTGGCTCCATTTGATGCGAAGATGTTGCGCTGGGCTTTGGACCCAGAACTGGATGGGGCTGGTGCATTTGCAAACTGACTGTGAACCAGCAGTAGAGATGGACCTTGGGAGGAAATCCTCAGCTCTGGACTGAGGGCTGTAGCCAAGGGCTTTGGGTCAAGTTCTCGGAAGTTTTGGCCTTTTCTGCAGGGAGAGTAGAATTTGGAGATCAGGGAGGAGCTCCTTGGAGCTGGGGTCCGGGGGAGACTGGCCATCCATCTTGGGTCCTGTGGCTCAGTAGGAAGTGCTTTCAGGTCTGTGGCTTGGGCTGAGCTGGGCACATCGGAGACCCATCTGTATTGCACCTGTCAATTCCTCAAGACCCTGAGATGTGAGGAGAAGGAAGACATACACGGAGTGACTTCAGTCCATTCCTTGACTCTATTCCCCTCTTCCCACAGCCCATCCCCTTCTCTAGCCACCCTGCTTCTTGCCTGACCCCAGACCGTTTCTGGATCTTCTTCACAGCTTACATTGTCCCTGTACCTTTCACTCAGCCCCACCGAAATTTTTCCTCATGAGCTCCCTTCTCCCCAGAGCTTGTAACCCTTTTCTTCCTGTCCCTACACTCTCTCCTTCAGAACTTAGATGAGGCCGAGTCCTGGGATGAGGGCTTTAGGAGGTCCCTGGACTTGGACATTCCCAGGGGGATGGCTGGTGGGAGGTAACTTCTGCTTGTGCAGGTCAGTGTTACTGATGGAAGAATGAATGAGAGAGAGAGAGAGAGAAAGAGAGAGGGAAGAGGAGGAGGAGAAGGAGAAGAGGAGAAGGAGGAGGCGGATGAGGAGAAGAAGGAGAAGAAAGAGAGGAAGGAGAAAAATAAGAGGGGAGGGGAGGATAGGGGAAGGGATAAAAGACAATAACAGCGAAACAGAGATAGCAGACACAGAGATACCGAGTTTTTAGTCTAGTTACTGAGCATGCCTGAGGCTCTGTTCTTAAACCAGGGAACCCCAGCAGCTGTGGGTGGACATGGACAAGGTGACAGAGTTCGCACTGAAAGACAAAAGTGGGCCTGTAATGTCTGGTGAACATTCACAACGGATAGGATCAGTGAGGGTTTCATCTGGAGAAACTTGTCAATTCTGATTTTTCCCTCCTCTGTTCCCTGCCCCATTTCACCCCCAGACCAACCTAACCCACTCACAGGACAAACAGGGCAGCCAGCACGAGGCTCTTGGCCGTGAGGAGTCCACACAGCACGGGGACCAGGACACTGGGGGCTGCAGCGCTGGAGCTGAGGGTGGAGTTATGTTGCCTGGAGGGAGGAGGGAAAACAAGGGGGAGGACAGGGCTGGGGTGGCAGCCTCTGCTGCGGTCCCTGAGCCAGGCCCATGCGGATGTGGGTCCATCCCACCTAGACTCACTGTGAAGGGACAGTGGTGCCAGAGGAAGCCCTGGGGGCCTTGCTGGCTCCTCCAATTGGGGCCAAACTGCCCAAGGTCTGTGCTGAGTCCTGGTCACAGGGAGATCTGTTACAGGCTGCCAGGGAAAGAGAAAGGACCTCGTTAGTGGGGAGCGAGAGCTCACCTGTTCCCACTAGAGGAAAGCAGGAATAGAGAAGTGGGATGGACTGGGAGCCATTGAGCCCACTGGCTCAGAAAGAGAAAACAGATTGTAGAGGTGGGGTCTGGATTGTGAAGTTGCCTGCCTCAGGACTAGACAGACCTGCAACTGGGACTCTATAGCAGTGCCCTTGGAGGTGTCACTGGGTCCAGGAAGAGCCCTGGAGTAGGAGTCAGGAGGCCTGTGTCTCCCTCCAAGTATTTCCTCATTGTTGGACAAGCCTTCTCTATCTCTCCATATGGAAATAGACATGATCTTTAAACCCCTTTCATCTCTGATGTTCATAGATTCCCTTTCCCATACCTCTAGGGCTGTTTGAAGAAGCCTTTGTGGTGCAGTGATTAAAGTGCTTAGCTGCTAACTGAAAGGTCTGTGGTTCAAACTCATCAGCTGCTCCGTGGGAGAAAGATGTGGCAGTCTGCTTTCATAAAGATTACAGCCTTGGAAACCCTATGGGGCAGTTCTATTCTGTTCTGTAGAGTTGCTCTGTGTCAGAATCCACTTGACAGCAGTGACTGGAGGTCTGTCTGGGGGAGAGGGCCTCTCATGGGGAATTTTTTTTTTTGTATACTTTATTTTATTTATTAAATTAAAAACAATTTTTTTATTGTTGTTTTAGATGAAGGTT